ATTCTTCCTCTTGTCTTTCAATCGTCAAGACTTTTGTCTTTTTTATGTTGAAAAACAATCCAAGTTTTTAGCTTTTTTCATCTACTTTGAGTTTTTCTTTGTAAATCCTATATTACAAAAACAATAACTTTAGCGAATCGTAATGTTATTGTTTCACCACCTACCAGGACTCCAAATTAAGTAGAACACTTTTGTCATTGAGGGACATTGAAAATTAACAAACTTAAAATGTATTTCCATGAAATGTCACAGACATCATTAGCTATGATCAATCCATTAATGGATGAAGGCCTCCGCAAGCCACCCTGATCTCTCAAAATTCTATGATTTAACAATCCGTCTAGCACCTGCACACGAGCTTATGTCATCGCTCCATCTCCTCACTGCACATCCTTAGCTGCCACTCTGTCACTATTATTGACCATCAGCTATAACCCTCTCATCAATGTCCAGCCCAAGACCCACTTGTATGAACATTTTAATTTACATGTCGTCTTTAGCCTGCGTTTTTTTTTATCCAGGTCTTTAGCTTTCTGTCTCAGAATGCAATACCAAACACGCAAAGGACAGGATCATTATAACATATTTACGTACCTTAATACTTCAACTTACAGCTCACAGTGCTGTTAAAACTCTGATCATCCATCTGCCACAGTTATTCACCATTATTCTCCCCAGCCCACTTCAGTGTTTATTGTTACTGTAATCTAGCACATACTGGCATGACCAGCTGCAATAATAATCATCATTTGAAAGTGACGCGAACTGTGATTGCACCTGTGGTCATGCCCATACAGTTGCGTGCCAGCACGATTCACATCTCGGACCGGATTCAACTTGGCATATAATGGAATTAATATAATGCAGTGATTTGCATACCATTTCACATGTGTGATTGTCTGTCATCACTACTCCCACCGCAACTATACTTTCATCATCATTAGCCATGGTCATTCTACTGGGAGGAGGGGGGCTGTGTTTAGGAACAGGTCAACATTTATTTTAGATTTTCAATATTTTCTTCTATATATAGTGCTTGGTCTGAATGCTTTGAGAATGGACATCAAGAAGTGTTTATTAAAGCATTTGACTAATATTTAACATGCCTACACCTTTTTAAAGATATAACTGTATATGAATAGTTGAGGCCTGGGCCCTTAAACTAGCTTAAAAATAAGTGTCACAATGTTATAATTGTCAATATATATTGCATGAGCCCCTGCGAGCCTCTTGGTTACTGAAGTTGTATTAGGAGGTATGTTGATTATTGCATGGTAAGAACATAATAATAAACATCCATTTGTTAATCCACCGCTGAAAGAAGACATCCCCATGGCATGCCAGTCATGGCATTGTTTGACCATACTTCACCTCGCTGGTCAGTATGGGTTGGTGGAGTTTCAGTTGCACTCAATGCTGATGTTAACTGTGGCTGGCAATCAAACTCGGCTCACTTTTTTTTCGTATGGCTGATGTAGATGCAGAGCAACAAGTCTAATTTCACATTCAAGTGGTCAGGCCAGATAACCGCGTCAGGAGGAGTGGAGTGTGTCGCTGTGGTGTCTCCGTATTATTTGTGGATCGGGGCATTGCGTCGGTATGTGTTGTAGGGTCTGTTCTGGATGACCACAGTCGCACACCGCAGAGTTTTGAACTTTCCATTTGTCCATCAGGTATCCGCATCTGCTGCCATGGGATTCATGCAGTGGATGCGACTTAGGGTGGACTCGGCTCACTGGGTCATAGTGCAGCAACACTAACCACGACGTGACTGCTTTACCTTCATTACAAGGAATGTGGTTATAATTTGCCAGTTTTATGCCCCAATTGTGAATGGACTACAAAGAGGTCTGTATACACTTGTAGTATTCGGGCATCATAATGAGTGCAGTGAAGTATATTTCATTGGGAAATCCTGCCACTCATTATCCAGGTATTTTACTAATCGTTTTTGCGCACATCTGTTGGTGGAAATGGTGGAGTCAATAGGGCCGTTGATGTGGCGTACTTTGAGCAACTTGACTCTGGGAGGGGGGGCATCCTGTTGTCCGTGCATTTTTTCCCCTCTGATAATTACGACACACAGGGCTCACCCAAAGTCCAGAGACATGTTTTTGTTTCATGCTGAAATACCATGCCAGGAATTCACAGATATTCAATTGATTCCGCATTGTTGTGCAACCCATGTTTTAATGTTATTCTACTGAAATGTGCTCACTTCATGTGCGTTTTAGTAATCGATTTTTCATTTGTTCATTCTTTTAATTTCAATAAATGACAATTAAAGCAAAGCTTACAAACAAAACATGTGTAGCCACTGCAGAGAAAATGTGCTCTTGATGTTTTTGTCAACTGGCTATGTATGTCCCTAGATTAGAGACTGTGCCATATTGTTTCTGACAAAGCAGTTCTGCTAATATTTCATGGAAAGATTTTCTATCTCAGGTTAAGACTTCATTTCAGTCAAATTAACAATATTCTATGTAAGTAAGTAAACATATTTAGCAAAGTAGAATGTGTCGAGAATTAGTTTTGTTTTCAACTCATTTTGCAGTGATATAGACAGGTAACAATTGTCTCGTGAACTCATTTTTATTAAATTGATGGCATTATTTTATTATACAAGACAGCTCTGTTAATCTAGGGGTTAGGGTTTTCTTATTAAAGAGGTCAAAGGGAGCAACCGTATTGCACACACTGATACCTTGAGCTGCACAGGAATAGGAAAGGAAAGCTGTACCCAGTACTTATCTTGTAATAGTTTTTTTAAAAAGTTAAAAATTCTACTGTGTATTTCATTTTCGGATTCCCATGAGAATGTTTCTAAATTGTCTTGTTTTTTTTACTTACTGCAGAAAATACATGTTATCAATAGAGTCACTGATCGGATAGCGGCACTGATGCGTAGGCAAGCATATTGCCTATACATTACTCTACTTGCATATGCTTTGGTATGTCAATGCAGCACGCAATGCTGTGTGTGCATGCAGAGTGCATGTAATTCAGAAATATGTAGAGTTTTCAAGCAAACCCTTATATTGTTAAATCAGTGGTTGGCGCATTAGTGCAGTTTTTAGCACACCGCACTATGAACCTGGCGACCTATATTCAATTCCCATCCAAGATTAACATCAAAAAAAGAAACACGAACCAGTGTGGTGAAGTATGGTCAAACAACCTCATGGCCAATAATATAGTGTGGAGGAAGCCGTCATTCAGCAGGGGTCAGTAAATAATATAACCGAAAGGGCAGTAAATAATGAATTTGCACAACTGCTTAGTTGATTATATTTTTTAAGTGGACACTTTGTATGATGAAATTATACAAAATGGTGGGTGGCACAATCCGGTTTAAGCAAGAAAATGCCGTGACATTATTCTGCCCGTTTGTGGATACAAGTCCACACATTATAGTATTGTATGTACCGTATTTCATTATATGGGAAAACTTAATTTGGGTGAGGGACTTTCATTTGTGTGTTCTACATCCGTTTATGTTTAAACAGTTGAAGGTATATACTGCTGTGCCTGCTAAAACACAAAGGGTGGATGACCCGAGGCACTCTATATGTTTACACGTACTGTTGAGGCTTGCTTGGCTTCCTCTCATAGAGTAGGCAAATGTTTTCCCCGATTTTTTTCCGTACCTGCCTGTAAAACCAGAGCAGTATGACATACAAATCCAGAAGCATATTTTGTCGTGCACAGTAGCTTGGGAGATGTTAACTACCTCGTCTGGTATACAGGAGGCCGCCGTGGGTTTGATCCCGACCCTTGATGCCTGCTGTATATTTGGAGTTTGCGTGGTCCACCCCGTGGCCGTGTGGATTTTTCTCCGGGTCCTTCGGTTTACTCCTTCACATTTAGAAACACGCGTTTAGACTATTTGGCCGCTGTACATTGCCACTTAGTTGAACTTTCGTTTGTGGCCAGGTCGCTTCTGAAAAAGAGCTGTATGGTGATCCAGTGGTCCTCACCTGGTAAAATAAATATAGTTTAACATACGGGTTACATGATTCAAAGTCTTGCATTGGTTGACTTGTGCGTTTGCATGTTAAGGCAATTGTAATGTTGGCACACTGCGGTCGTAAAAATTGTAGGGACAGACACGCACACTTGGTTTGTTGTACACCATCAATTGAAATCTTGTTTGAAACAATATAGCCAGGTGAGAATGTCTTGAGAGCTGAACTCTCCTCCCTCATTTGCAAGGAGGAAGCCAAAGCGAAACTAAGGGTAGCGGTCGGTAAATTGTTCAAACGGTGCACGATATACTGTACAGATTCTAGCATATATGCCGCACGCATTTTGAACGGAAATCCGAATGAGTGAACTGCTTTTGGGCACATTTGTGAACCTCTTCAGAGTTCATACTCTTTGGTTCTTTCGGTAAAGCTTTCCCACCTGATGATTGGACGCTTGTATTGCGCCCGAAACGTCGTGATTTATTTTATTTTATACCTACGTGACTTTACCCAAGGAACCAAAGAATATGGATTCCTGCAGTCAAATCAACTCTTGAGAGTTCGTGAAACATTGTGGCCCTTTTTTCTGATTCCCTTCCCACCCGTCCCCTGTTTCACTGGCCACCAAACCACCACCAAACCACCACCACACCACCACCACTAAACTACCACCACCAAACCACCACCACCCCCAAACCACCACCAAACCACCACCACCACTAAACTACCACCACCACCAAACCAACACCACCACCAAACCAACACCACCACTAAACTACCACCACCAAACCAACACCACCACCAAACCACCCCTCTGGCTTTGCCGTTTTAAAAAAAATGGTTCGGTCCCCTTTTTGCGATGAACGTGCCCGACAGAGCGAGCGAGAGAGAGAGGAAAGGGGGTGGTGGTGGTGGGTGGTGGTTGTGTTAGTAGTTATTATGTAAATACTGCCGCCCCAGGTGAACAGGGAGGAGGAGGAGTTGGTCAGACCTGCTCCTCCAGTCTTGACGAGCGCAGGCTGAGACGGCATGAGTGTGTTGCGTGTGCCCCTGTGGTGCTGCTGCTGCTGCTGGTGGTGTAAGAGTTAAGAGAGAGAGGGAGGGAGAAGGAGGGGGGCGTAAGAGTCAACTTTTTTTTAAACAATTGACACGTGCGACGCTGGGACAGCTTCTCCGCTGAACTCTTTGTTGGTTCGCGGCTGACAATTTGCGTGACACACACGCGAACCCGTGTCGCTCATCATTATAGGCGATACGAGGCGCTAGGTTTGTGGCGTACGAACACGCACGGCGGGGTGGGTGGGTAGGTGGTGGTGGTGGGGATGAGAAAGCCGAACGCTTTTGAGAGGAAAAGGAAATTAGAGCAACAGGAGTGGAGAAAATAATATAAAATCAAAGCAGAACTTGACCGTCGGCAAAAAAAAGGCAGCGACTGCGAGAGCAGTGGACGTTAGCACGAACAACGCGAGAGAGAGAGAGAAGAGCATTGTGATATACGCAATGAACTATTTCATCAAGAAGGTGTCCTTCATCGATGCCGAGAACCCTGAGCAACCCATCAGGTTGCTGAAGCAACCCGAGGTCCTGATGAGCGACAGACGCGAGCCCGTGACGCCGCTGAAGAGCGCCAGCAGCTTCCCTCCCATGATTCGGCAGCAGAGGCAGCAGCAACAGGAGGAGGACGATGAGGAGGATGAGATGTTCCCGGTGTCATCATCATCAGCAGCAGGAGCCACTTACTCGCCGGTCGGGAAAGCTGCTCGGATCCTGTCAACTCCCTCCGCTATGGAAAGGGCCCGCGCGTACAGACGGGGCTCGTCGAGACCCGAGATGCCAGGTGCAGTTGTTGTTGTTGTTGTGGTGGGGGAGATGCCAGGTGTTGTTGTTGTTGTTGTGGGATATTCCAGGTGAGGTTGTTGTTGTGGGGGAGATTCTAGGTATTGTTGTTGTTGTGGGAGATTCTAGGTGAGGTTGTTGTTGTGGGGGAGATTCCAGGTGTTGTTGTTGTGGGGGAGATTCCAGGTGTTGTTGTTGTGGGGGAGATTCCAGGTGTTGTTGTTGTGGGGGAGATTCCAGGTGTTGTTGTTGTTGTGGGGGAGATTCCAGGTGTTGTTGTTGTGGGGGAGATTCCAGGTGTTGTTGTTGTGGGGGTTATTCCAGGTGAGGCTGTTGTGTGGGAGATTCCAGGTGATCTCCAGGGGTGCGGTTGTTGTTGTGTGGGAGATACCAGGTGTTGTTGTTGTTGTGGGGGTTATTCCAGGTGAGGCTGTTGTGTGGGAGATTCCAGGTGATCTCCAGGGGTCCGGTTGTTGTTGTGTGGGAGATTCCAGGTGTTGTTGTGTGGGAAATTCTAGGTGATCTCCAGGGGTGCGGTTGTTGTTGTTGTGGGGGAGATTGCAGGTGAGGGTGGTGTTGTGGAGAGGGATAAGGAGGCAAAAGGGCTCTCGGTCTTGTCCGTGCAGATTGTTTCACGCTAAGGGGTACCGACTGGTGTTATCCACCTCGAAGCTGGCAAAGAAATTCACAACAGTGACCACAACAGTGGCTTTCTTTACCAGCTGAGAGGTGACTTCTGCTGATGATACCCAGTACAAGTAGTTTGGTTGCATTCAATTATAGAAATAACTTTTAGATTGAAACGGACGGCCCATATATATACCACAAAGCATGCAGAGTCGTGTTTAAACAAAATTTACATGCAGTAACTGGATTGTATCATTATCATCATCATGGGACCTCCTTTGCCAGTACGAAAATATGAGGATAGGTTTTTCCCCTTTTATCTGGCAACAAAACAGGTGTTAAGTTGTTAAAACACCAAACTGAAACCTTTACAATGAATCATGTCTGCATTAAGCACAATACTTGTGGTCAGAATACAAACAAAAAACATACTCTGATAATATATATTTGTATTGTTTCATCCTTATTTGGTAATAAAGAAAATTGAATTTTATGGGTTTTTTTACATGTATTTCTTAAATACAAACGCTACTGCGTCTCAATCTTCGTGGTTGTTGCGGTTAAGTCCCACGACGCACGGGGATGGACGTTTCGCTCCACGTGGCTTTTTGGGTTGGTGGTGGAGGGGGCAGCTTCGGCCAGGAAATGAAAACGCATCGGAGGGCAATGCGTCTGAAACAAAAAAATCTTAGTTTATTCTTCACTGCGTTTAGGGAGCTGCTAGAACAGCGTTTGAACCCCATGTGACATTCAGTGATTACTATATTACATAGCATGGTGATTTTAAAAGTTATGCTGTATCCACTTTGTGTTTTCCTGTTAAACCAAATCGCCACAGCTTACTTGCAACGTTGCACCACCTTACCTTGTTTTGTACCTGATGCCTTTTTCTCCCCAAAACTTTTCACCGTCTTGTTCCATTCGCGTGTGTTGATGGCACTAAATTATTGTAACCAAATTTTCCCAGGCTCCTCTTGCTATCATATTTGCATTTTTTGTGTGTGTGTGCTTGCGTTTCGTTTACAAACGCTGAAACACACCTCATCTGTTGTGCAATATTCCCCAACGACCCTGTTACTCGTTCTGCGCAATATGTATGTTGTCTTTGTTTTGTTGTTGATACGCTTACTGGCTGTCGTTGATATGCAAATTCAACACATATAATAAACTCAAAACTCACTATGTAATACTGCATTGGGATTTGAGTGCAGTGGCTATCGTTTTAAAACTGTAATCGTGCTGTTTGTACGTGATCTTTTTTTGGGGTGCAATCATAGCAAAAGCAAATTTCAAAAAATGTCTTGGACATATTTTGCTTTTACAATTGACACTCCGCAAACTTGACTGAGAATCTCGGCTACATCAAAGCGTTTGTCTGTTCATAGACACACGTGTCTGATGGCACCCGCAACAAATCTTGCATTCCCACACCTTTAGTGTGTGCATTCATCAGTACAGGACGTGAATAAGCCTCAAACCCCCTTTGGCTGTATGCAACGTTTGCGAATGTGTTTATTTTGCTTGGGTAAGGTTTTGTGTCGTTAAAGCAATTTGCTTTCGTTATTTGGGGTACAAAGCTGCGTTGAATGAACGCATACTTGAGGCCGAGTTAAACTTGTGTGTCTGCCAAGCAAAAATACTGTCCATATGTGCGTTTAAGATTGAATATTAGCGAGAGGCATGGCATGCCGAGCGAGTGTGGGCCGTTCTTTGTTTAAATATAACTTTCATTCCTTTTGGCGATGTCGGAAAGTAGTTCGTAAAACTTACGGTTAACTCACTGATTTGTATTTCGATTTAAAGCTTTCGTGACTGCAGAGATTCATCTTCTTGGTTCTTTCGGTAAAGTCACGTAGAAGGAAAATAATAAAATAATAAAAATAAAACATTATAAAATAATTCTCACGACAGACCTGTTCTCCACCTGAAGACGGCTGCTTGCGTTGTGGCCGAAACGTCGTGAGAATAATTTTATTATGTTTTATTTTTATTATTTTCCTTCTACGTGACTTTACCGAAAGAACCAAGAAGATGAATCACTGATTTGCATTTTAGTTTTGCTTGGCCCACGTGTCGTTTGTTGGATGTCTGACGTGTATTGCTCCACATTTTGGGGAGCTTATTCAGGAGTTGACACTGTGCACGGTTGGCCGCGTACGGTGCGAAAGAAGTTCAAAATGCAGTACATACTGACAACTTAAAAAGCACATACACATCGGAGAGCTGTGCAGCACCCTACGCAGCAGTAAAACTTCGCTCTAAATCAAGTTGCTTCAGGGCCGCGGAAGGAGATGAGCCAACTACCCCCTCCCCATTGATCGTTTGAGCAGAGAGACCGTTTGTTTGATTATTAGTTTGAAGTAACATTTAGGTGCTGCTTCCAGTGGCAAATACAATTAAAATGCCAAACAGATCCCTAATTGGTTTTGTTTGTACAGGTGGGAAGCTTCCACTCAATGACGTTTTGTGGGAAAGTCGTCATAGTTCCCAAATGGGCTTTCTTTGAGTTTGCCAGGTGGCAGTTAATAAATATGTCAAAACACTGGCTGACATTGAGATGGTCCTGCAAGAGATCCTGGGTTCTGGTCTGTGCAGCCACAGTTGCAGTGATCTGATGATGCACAACAACAACAAAAACCCCATTTAATTTGTGGTCCCCCCTCCCCCAATTAAGGTTAATGGAAGATTATATATTCGAATTTCATCTCATGCGGAGCATCTATCTGGGCAGGCACATCGCCCAGAGTAGATAGGCGGTGACTGAAGGAACTTAATAAGGATTTTTGTGGATGAGTAACTTAACCAAAATTTGTATTCATTTGTCATATTTAACACATAACTAATTGTAATATATGGTGTACTGCATTTGAATAAAAACACTCAATATAATTTACAAAAATAAAATGAAAAAATGTTGGTCTGGGTTGAATCATTTTTGGTGAAACATTATGGTACATTATAGATCAAAGATTACTTGGCTCAAAAAAAGTTTTCATTGTGATCCAGAGTAATCACATCGCAAGGCGGATGCTGGCAAAAAAAAAATCTTCCATAAATGATAAAAACGTGTCATAAAACCATTGTAACCGGTACTTTGATATTTGTAATTGGGTAATACCTTTTAAATGAATCCATCATGTGCAGTCGGACGTATTCGTGTCAAGATGCATTTGTACCGAAACCTTTTTGACAATGAGAAACAAAATATATAGACCCACCGTGACAATTAAGCGTGCGCGTACAGCGTATTTGGCAACCTACAACGTTATACAGTGCACAGTTCCTGCTGCTGACATCCTGCCGGTAATGTTTTCGCCACCCATTCCACTAACGAGGGATATAAAGCCACAACTCGAAAGAATTGTGCTTGAACAAATGCACGTTATTGTTGGCCTCGATTGAATCTCCCCGCTCTTGAAGCACGAGGGCAAGCTTGTGCATGAACACATCAACAATGCTATGATGTTTGCAGAGCACCGGTGCTCCCTCTACACGATTGACAAATCTTCCATTTGTAAACGGTAGTCGGTGCATTGGACGGTAAATATTTATCGACATCAGCAGAGCTTGCCGGTGACATTACACGCGGAGGGTGCTTAAGAGGACAGTAACGCACACACGTGTAAAGACTTGTAGCGCATTCCTGGCACTGTCAAGTTTTAAGTTTCATGGTTACGATAAAATAAATGGTCTTAAACCACATAAAAAATGTAGACTCAGAGGCATTTGCTTTAAATAAAGAAAACCACGTTTGTTACTTTCTACAGATTATATTATTGTCAACATATTATGCCATAATGTCGATTTATATTGTACATTTATTAATATATTGGTTTACATTAACACTGCATACCACAATTGTTATTTGTGCCTATGAAGAGGAGTGTTGAAATTATTTTGCACCGTACGTAGCCAACCTTGCTAATCGGAGGTGCGGGGGAAGGACAACAAACGAAACACCAAAAGCAGTTTTTAAGAAATAAGGTTTCAATCTAGATGATTTTAAAGTGCATAGCTCCAGTGATTTCCTAATTTTGGAAGAAAGAGCATTCCAGACGACCGCAGGAATGCATCTGAAAGCGCACGATGCAGTGACCAGTCACCTACTGGGAGTTCCTGAAGAAGCTCCCGGCACGTGAAAAGAAACGTTGGACATCACGCCAAACAACACGCAGTACAAGCTGGAAAAAAACCATCAGAAAGTTACCAAAAATTATTGCCAATTAAGCGTCGTTGTTTTGGCTTTAAAATAATGTCACTTAAAGCAAATACTTTGAAAATGTTAGCATCTGCTGTGAAGTCAGTGGTCGCTGGATCGAGGCCATCAAACTTGACTTCACTTCAGAACCCATTGGGTCACTGCTTACTCTGTAC